ACTATTGCCCCAAGAAGATCAGGAGCCCATAAAATACTGCAACGCACACAGACTCACTGGAGGGCCACAGAGAGGAGTCCACAGTCAACTATTCCTCGATGAGAAATATTGTCTACTTATTTATAATCAAAAGGCCAGACAAAGAATTGAAGAAGATAAGGGGTTATAGATTAGCTTAAAGAAAGAATGCCAAGAACAGCGCAAAAGCTGGGAAATCAGGCACCCTGTAAGTCTGCAGCAACACACCAGAGTGTGTACCACTGGTATGCAGCACAGAAATAACAGCAGCCGACCTCATTCACAGCTCCCTGCTGTGCCCGCTAGGTAACAACTAGCTCCTCTCTTAAGGACACCACCTATCAAGCATGCGGGGTGAAATAAAGACACCTCTGTTTTCTGCTCTTTACACTTATTTGAAATTCCTTTTCTCAAAGTCTCCAGCAACAATTTTTAAAATCTTGTCCCCTCTTGGATGCCCTTCCTCACCCTCTCTAAACTCCATAATTATTCCTTCGGTATATCCTCCTCGTGCTCTCTGCAGTTTCTGAGACTGCCACAAGCTTTCCTCTCGTCACGATTTTACTCTGAATCTTGTATTTCGGCAGTTAACAACTATCTAGCCAAAATTTCTGTGTCAAATACACACAGATCTACCATATTACTGCAGACTATTTTTCTGCACAAGCTGCAGTCTCAGCTTCTCCTCCAGTATCTCTGCTGTGGACATCAACTCAGACTTAACCTACTGCCCTTAGCCCTCCCCAACCAGCCCTTCTGCACAATCCCTCTCTCAGTAGCTAAAATCGAGATAGCCTGCCCCTATTACACTTGGGTTCATAACCTTTGGCCCTGCCTTGGACCTAAAGCTCTAGAGGTTCACAAATACCTGCATGATGCCCCCATACAATACAATATTTCTTGTCTACTTACGCAAGTAAAACTCTACTCTGGGCTCCCATCCGCCTTTCATTTTCCAAAACTCAGTTCTCTGGAAATGCAATCTTTACTTATTCATCCACCCAGAATGCTGCTGCAGAGATCATTTTTCTAGGCCACTTCTTTAACCACCTCACCACTCTCTGTCCATCCCTTCACCATCTCCCCCTTCTCTGCTGCATCAGAAACTCCTCGTTGCAAAGCTGGTCCTAGCCCTTGTCCCCTGCCATCCTCGAGAGTTTAAAAGGGCCAGTTTCATCTCCGGCCAGGCAACGATACCAGGCTCTGCTGTCTACTTGCTATTATTGTCAAGCAAGAGTGCACCAGGAGGACAGATATTTTGGAGGAATATTAGCAAGCGATTCTACTCAAATCTCTTCTGCCAGGTATCTGGAAATAACGGGCTTCCCGGAAGCTATGACCACTGACTGTCACATTGGTGCAGAGGGTCCCGTTGCTTCCTACTGCTCTTCCATCCCTCCGTGTCCCCCACTCCTGATGGGAACTACATGCTCCTTCAGCCACAGACAGCAGTTTTACTCTGTGTGCACAGCCCTTAGCACACTGGGGCCCTGACCCATGACAAAGGCTCCTCACGTGACAACAATACCAAATGTAATTAAGGCTAACAGTAAAGGAAGTTACTCTGTGTGGGCTTGGGTTCAGTGTAGCACATGAACACCATTACTCACCCTAAGATAAAAAGCAATAATGCAACGTCGTCTACAGAAGAAACAAAACCAAGTAAAATATCATCCGGGTCAGCAGTCCAGCATAATAACGTGACAGACACCCAAATTTTTTGCTTATCTTTAAATCTGGGTGCACTGTGTAGAGTTAGCTAGAATGGTTTAAAATTACAAACGTGTTACTGCTGCCATTCTAGAGACGCGCCTGACCTGAACGCACCAAGAGAGTTATTTTTAGTGCCTTATTGCAATCTTTCAGTCATCCTGCATTTACAAAACGGAAATTGTGAGGAAAGTTGTTCTTGGCTGACATCAGGAACGAGCAGCCAAACTAACAACAGCCAAAGCAATCCAAGAAGGGCAGCAATGCAAACTCTCCGTTTTTCCTTCTAACTCTTAATGTGTTGAAAGTATCCGGTCTCAGCACGAGGCCTGGGGGCTCCGTACCGTCCCAGTACGCTGTTGATCAGGGAGAAGTCAGAGAGCTGCTTGTGCGCTGCTTGTGCACGTGCAGATGAGGAATTTCCTCCCCCGCCGCAGAATCCAACTGCCGCCAGCAGCGATGCTTGTTACGGCCTCCCTGCAGTTCAGAGAGGTCAGCGCGGCCGCAGAGACATTGGTCAGGGCGGTCCCTCGTTTTTTGCTTGGTTTTGCTTCTCATCTTCCAAAATTTCAGGCCCGTAAGCCTTCAGGGCATGCTACCGGCCCACGTTTCCCCTACAACCCTGCCGGGAGAGAGGGGCCTGGCCGCTGGCTGCTGTGCATCTCTTAATGAGGGGAGGGATGAGGTCGCGCTGCCAGCCCCCACCGGAGCACACCCAAAGCTCCGCTCTCTCAACAAGACAAACCTCCCAGCGCGGCGAGAGTAAAAAAGAAAACATTAAAAAAAAAGAAAAAATCCTCGG